GGAGTCTGCAGGGAGGGAAGAAGAGGCCCTCATATAAGGGTAGTTATTGAGAGAGAGAGAGAGAGAGAGAGAGAGAGAGAGAGAGAGAGAGAGAGAGAGAGATGCCTATTCTTCCTTTTCCATCCCTCAGTACCTCCCACTCATGAACCAGGATCCAGAGAGTCACCGTGACCATGAAGGTCGTGGTGGGGTGCGCTCTCTCCTCCAGATTGGGCATCAGAGGTTTGCTGGACGATCATGGTCAAAGCCCCTGCAGAGCCCATCTGAAGTTGGATACCTGATAGGGGAAGAGCTGGTGTTGTGTGAGTAGTAGCAGTGCTCAAAAGAGTGGACGAAGTCAGCAAGCCTTGAGAGAGGGGGTCCTGGAGCAGTGAGGCTTTCCCCCTTCCAGGTTTTGGCACCAATGAAAGAATGAACAAGGCTCATCTTCACATCTTCAGAGAAAATGCCCATTTATTGAGGAATAGCTCTGCATATTTATAGAGCCAGGGGTGGTTTGACAGTTATGAGAGTTTAAAGGTTGAAGGGTTTGACAGTTGGCATGGGGTGCTTTCTGATTGGTGGGTAAGGATCATGTGAGCCAGCAGGGCTAGTCTGATTGGTGGGTAAGGATCATGTGAGCCAGCAGGGCTAGTCTGATTGGTGGGTAAGGATCATGTGAGCCAGCAGGGCTCACCATTGGATGGCTCTTCTTGGAGGATGGGGAAGTTAGTCTTTGGAGCCTGGGCGACTCCCAACAGAACCTGCTTTCCTCTCTCTCATCAACCTCTTCTGATTTTCTCTTGTTATCCCTTCTGGGGAACTTGAGTTGGAGAACTGGGAAAAGCCATTCTGAAACTTGTGTAAAGATAATTTGTGTCTGTGTTCTATGTTGCATCACCCCAAATTCACACAAATGACCTTAGTTTAGTCTTCTGTGCTGGATGGGGGTTAAAATGGCCTCTACCAAGCTTTTGCTTTTTCTCAGGGCCTTTTGGTGCCTCAGTCCTGTCCAGTGCTATTGCCAGGGTGTCAGTGGGGCTCAGAAAGTTCCCATAGAACACACTGGATTCAGGGTTATGCCAGGGTCTCTCTAACCCTCAGCACTTTCCCCAGGTTCTCAATTGAGTTTAGTGTCATTCCCAGGGTCACAGTGTTGCTTGGGGCCTCCCCAGCATCTTACTGAGTTTCAGTCCATTTCCTAGGGAGCTAGTGCCTCTGAAGATCTTTCTGAGTCTCATGTAAGGGTTCTGACTATGGAAATGTACACAAGACAACACATTTCTCTAGTGAGTAAACTCCCCTAGAATAATAGGTGTCTTATTTCCCACAGCTGGAACATTCTGCAGTTTCTCTCAGAAACTATTAAGATAACTAATACATGCTTGGCCAGAACTCCTATCTGATTATTAACAAGAACATCTTACATTATAATGCAATGTATCTGACTTAGTGATATAATGAACAATAATGCACTAGTGGCACAGTGAGCTACTGTAACCTAATGGTATAAATAAGTACAGCTGCTAAGACTACAGCCATTTTGCCTCTGCATCTTGCTTCCTTCTCCTTTTGTTTTCTTACAGCTGGAGCCCAATGTGGTACCTGGACATCTGAAACAGGGACCCTTCTGGATGTGTTAATGGGGAAAGGGATTGCTTATGACCTGGAGCAGGCTGATGTGTGTCTTTCACCAGATGCTACTGATCCCCATTGGTAAGGTATTGGAAAATGCCTGTCTGACACTCAACTATGTAACTATCTCCTATTTATTTATCAAGGCTGGACATGCTGTATGTAATGTTGACTTCACTGTTTTGCTGGCAGAGGTTCTTGTTGCTCCTGAAACTCAGAAAATGGTTACATATGCACAAAATATTGGGAAGATATAGGTAAGAAGCTTCAGGAGGAATGTGAGCTCCTGTTGCATGCTTGTCATCTTTCTCCCAATGCTATTTGTCTCTCAACAAACACCTCCTCCTCTGTCTGCTACCACCCACCTGCCACTTGTGATTCTTATATTCTTTATGGAGGTGTTCCCTTTGCCTTCACCAACTCCTCCTCCTCTGCTGCCACTGCCACCACTGGTTAGATCTCATTTGGCTGAATGTTTTCAGCAAGTGGAGCAGGAGGGTGAGACTCATACCTTAGCTGATTGACCTATTAGGCCAAATTCCACTGGCCAGCCAGAGCATAAGCAATTGTCTTTTGCTGCATAAATGCATTCTGCTGTCATGTATAACTAATTCAAACAAATCAAAACAATTAAGAAAAATTGCTAGTAAAATGAGATGGACATCATTACCCTAGGTACGTGTATGACTGAACATACGGTGCAATGCTACATTGTGTACAATCACAGAAATGAAAAGTTGTGCTGCAATTGTGTACAATGAATCAAAATGCATGAGAGCAGTGTCATATATACCTAATTAAAATAAATACACAAATTAAAAATAAATAAATAGGCATATTGACATACTGTTTTGGAAAGTGGCAATAAGGAGGGAAATGCATTTTTCTAGCCCCCTCAAGATCCTATGACATAAATGTTCTCAGTCTAGAAACAGCCATCTCTTCATGTTAAAACAGAGCATCCTTCCAGAAATCCTTTCATGCCCCTAGAGGGATCACTGGCATCGATTTCATTACTACTAAAGAAGCCTGGTGTGGCTTCTTGGGAAGGTATATAAAATTACCACTCAAATTTAGGAGACTTTACCCAAAAATGCTTTGGGATTCTTTTTTTCTTATTCTCATAGAGTTAAAGAAAGAAAATTTATTATTCCAGAGGTAATTGATTCTGACCATATCGGTATAATATGTGCCCCAATGTGGTTCCATATGCCTATAAGTCTTTCTAAAGAATCTTCTATTGTTCAATTAATTGTGATTCCTTATGTTACAGCTCAACACCTTTAAACAAAAGAGCAAATGCAAGGTTTGGCTCTACTGTCATGGGAGTATGTTTACTGTTCATTGAAAGTAGACCTAAATTGACTCTTTAATTAAATGAACAATGAATTATGGGATTTTTGGACACAGGTGCTAATGTCACTGTCCTGCCCCTTTTGGTATGGCCTCATACATGGCCCCTTCAAAGGGCAACTCTGGTTTGGGGCATAGAAGGCAATAATAAATGGGTGTCCAAGAGCTCCCTGTGGTTACAATGCTCTGCCCCTTCCAATCCAACACAAATCATCCCTCATGTGCAGCCATATGTGATAGCAATACCTTTTCCTATATGGGGCAGAGACATGCTACATAAACTTCAGATGTCTGAAGAATTACCTTTTTTTGTAGGGGCCTCTGCAGATCTGACTGCCTTGTCAATAAAATGGAAATTCACCACCCCTGTCTTGGTTGAATAATGGTCATTGTCAAAGGGAAATGTGGCAGCTACAGAGGCCCTTATTTAAGAACTGTTACAATTGGGACATATTGAACCTTCTACTAGCCCTTGGAATATGCCCATTTTTGTTATAAAAATAAAATCAGGAAAATGGAGGTTATTACAAGATTTAAGAGAAATTAATAAATGTATAAATCTATGGGTCTGCTTCATTGTGGATCACTAAACACAAATTTAATTCCTCAAAATTTTTCTTTATATGTTATTTAGTTAAAAGAATGTTTTAAACTATTCCTCTCTTTCCTGATGTTCAGAAAAAAAAATTTGCTTTTACTGTCTTCATTTTTAACCATCATAAGCTTACTAATGCTTGCACTGGAAAGTTCTCCCACAAAAAATGCTAAATAGCCCAACATTATGTCAATATTTGGTTAATAAAGCCTTGCTCTTTTTTGGTCAGAAATTTTCTCATTTACCTTTTTATCATTGTATGGACCATATATTGCTTATAGGATTAAACATCACAAATGAAATTCTACAAACATTACAGGAAGTGTTATTATAATCAGGATTCCACGTTGTTACAGAAAAAATTCAACCTTAACTCTCTATCAGGGACTTGGGACATATATTACTTCAAAAATATTCAATTCCTCACATCCCAAATTTGACCCTTCCTTCAAAAAAATTTTTTTGGTTAATTTACAGCAATTTCTATCACATTTAAATTGAGCATGTTCTTATATTCCATTAACTATTGATATGCTCTCATTTTTTCTAGTTGTTAAAGAAACAATACTACACTTCCTTCTTCAAGCTCTACAAAAAATAACAGAAAATTGTTGCTAGTAATGGTGAGTTGATCTCCTTTATCTAATATGCCATTATCATTGGTAATTTTTGTTGGAAAACTTTATGCCTTTATATCAGTAATTGCTATTCACAACCAAGGATTGTGAATATTAGAATGGTTACTCAGTCCTCATTTTCCAGGCTGGAATGTTCTGCCTTTTGCTGATACATATGCATAAATATAAGCAGATGCTTGTACTAAAATTTTATCTTTAAAAGGCATGGATATTTCATATTTTATATATTTTATATCTCACTTGTGGAAAAACTCTACCTTTCCAATACTTACAATTGTTCTCCTACTATCAAGTTGTATTGACAGACTTTTTTTTTTTTTAGCACCAATTTCTTTTCATATGTCTCATGATGGGTGAGTCTCTTTGTTATGTCAGGTTACACATTCCCCCTCTTTCTTCATCTAACTTTTCCCTTGTAGCTGGGTCAATGTTGTATACAGATGGAGGTAAGCACAGAGGGGGTAGTATCTGTTTTTATTAATGATAAATTACTGGGCATCTGATGGAAGGTAACACATAAGATGCAGCTGTAAATCCCTTTATTCTTTGCTTTCAGATTATGTAGAATCACATAGATATTTTCATCTAAACCCTTACTCTCTAGTGAAAATGTTTTCCATTTTTTACCAGAAGGCTTGTACCAGTGTCAATACTGTTCTCACTCAGATGATCAAAGACTACCCAGAGTCTTACTGACACTCAGGGTATCAGAGGGGATCTGGCCTTTCCCAGTGTCAGTGGGCTTTACAGCCTCACTTAGTCTCAGGAGGTTTCAAGGTCTTCCCCAGATTTTCAATCTTGTTTAGAAAGGGCCACATGAGCTTCCTGGTGCTTGGAATATTGCTCAGTATTTAGAAGAGGTCTAACGCTTATAAAAGAATCTCAGCTTCATTGATTTTATTCATTATTATCTCAGTTGTGTTCAAAATAATCTTCAGATTCATAGGAAGAGAAAGGGGCTTCCTTATTTTGGCAGATGTGTGCACAATCTTTGCAAGAATCTTAGTGGTCTCATTGCCTTTCCAGGCTCTCAGTACAGATCAGCACCATTCACAGATTCACAATTTAATCCAAACCTTCCCAAAGGTTCATAGGTCTTGTTGCTTTTTGCAGGGGAACCCTGAGATCAGAGCCAGCCTCAGAGTATTCTTTTACTTCAGAGTCTATAGGTTGTCCATCAGGCTTGGTGCTATCCTCAGAATCTCAGTGATGCTCAAAGTTTCTTCCAATTTCAGAGCAGGGCTCTGAATCTTCTGAAACAAAACACCAGGTTCAGGGTTGACCAGGGTTTCTCAATGAATCCCAGAGCCTTCCACAGGTTGTTTCTGGAACTAAGTGCCATTCCCAGCAAGACAGTGGTGCTTGGCATCTTTCTTAATGTTTGATTTGTGTCAGGTCTTTCCCAAGTCTTGTAGTGGGTCCTTGAACCTACAGTACTATTTCAGTGGATATAAAACTCTGCACAGTATCTAGTGCTGCTCAGATACTCCCACAGTATTCTGGGAAAATAATGACTTTCTTAGTGTCTGATTGGGGAATAGATCCCTGTCCAGTGTGTCACGGTAACAGAGAGATAGCCCTATCCATAGTGGTGCTCAGGGCCTTTCCCAATGTGTCAGTGGCACTCAGGGCCACCCCATGATCACATGTGTTAGCTCAGGGCTTTTGCCAGGTTCTCAGTCTGGATCAGTGCTTTCCCCAATGACTTACAGGTGCTCAGGAAATTCTCTTGGGTCTTTTTTGAGATGCCAGGTGTTATTAGGATTCAGAGTTTTCCCCCAGAACTCTCTGAGGCCAAAGGCCTTCAATACATAGTTTTACAGGTTGTTTCAGGGCCTCCACCAGGGTCAAGGTTGGGTTGTGGATCTTTCCTAGGGTGTCCTTGTGTCAGTGTTTTTTGCAGCTCAACAATGAAGCTCATGGCTTTCCCATGCTATAATGGATCTCAATGAATTCCCCAGATTATCTTTAGTTGTCAGAAAAATCTCCAAAATTTCACTGTGACTTAGAGCTGTCCATGAAATTTCAGGGATATTCAGATGCTTTCCTTGTGTTTGTGTGATTCAAAACTTTCAAAGTGTCTCTTGGCATTCAGAACATTTATAATATTTTAATTGAGCTTTCCCACTGTTTCACTGGATTTTGGGGCTTTTGCAGGTCACTAAGGAACTCATGGACATTACTAGGCTCTCATATTTTCCTCAATGCCTTACAGTGTCTCAGTCATGTTCAGTATTGTTCCAAAAGTGTCACCATGGCTTCCATTGTTCCTTAAAGACACATTATTCTAGAGTTTCTGCCCAGGTCTCAGAAAAACTTCAGCAATTTGTCAGTAAAGTTTATTGCCATTCTCAGGGTCACAGTGTTGCTCAGGGTCAGCCTTGAGTCTTACTGAGACTCTGGGTATTCCCCAGAGGCACAGTGGTGCCCAGGGCCTTCTCCAGTCTCAGTGCTGCCATGGTTTTCTCAGGCACTCAGTGACACTATACTGTTCCAGGTTATACTGATGGTCAAGGCCTACCCCAGTGTCTCAGTAACAGTCATGGTATCAGAGGAGTTGACTGTCTTTTCCGTGTTAGAGTTCCTCAGGGCCTACTCTAGAATCTCAGGAGGGCTTAAGGCCTTGCCCAGAATTTCAATCTCATTTAGAAAGTTTCACATTGCCTAGTTTTTAGAACATGCTCAAGGCTTCAATAAGAATCTCAGATTTGTTAATTGCATTTACTATTGTCTCAGTGGTGTTCAAAATATTTATCAGATTTTAAGAAGGCAAAGGGTCCTTCTTACATTGGCAGGTGTTTGCACTACTTTCCCAAGACTTAGTATTCTCATTGCCTTCTCAGCTCTCAGTACAGAAAGCTCCATCCAAAATTTTACCATTTTCTCAGGGCCTTCACAGGGCTTCAATTAGTAATATTTCCTTTTATAGGAGAACACTGAGTTCCTGTCATTTCAGAGTCTTTTCTAGGTTGTTTAAGAATCCCAGTGCTATTCTCAGAGTCTCAATGATGCTCATGCTTAGTCAAGCCTCATTGTGATGCTCTAAATCTTCCCCATAAAAATACAGTTTTCATGGCTGTTCAATTTTCAGGAAAATTTTTAGGGTTTCAGCATGACTCACAACTGTACATAGAATTTCAGAGGTGTTCCATGAGTTTGTGTGATTCAAAGGCCTTAAAAATGTCTTTTGGCACTTAGAGTTTTTGTCAGTGTCTCAGTAAATCTCAGCACTTTTCCCAGGTTCTCAGTGGAGTTCATTGCCATTCTCTGGGTCACAGGGTTGCTCAGGTTCTTCCCAGAGTCTTTGTCACGGGCATTCCCCCAGGATTACAGTGATCTCCAGGTTCTTTTGCAAAGTATTTGTGGTGTCATTGCCTTCTTGGGCACTCAGTGATGCTGTAGTCTTCCCAGGAAACACTGATGATCACAGTCTATGCCAAATTCTCAGTGACAGGAAGGGTATCCAAGGGACTCAGCAGCTTTCCCAGGGTCAGTGGGCCTCAGGGCCTACCCTAGAGTCTTGTAGCTGGGTTGATGTTATATACAGGTTGAGGTAAGCAAAGCGGGTAGTATCTGTATTTATTAATTTGATAAATTCCTGGACCTCTGATTGAAGGTAACACACAGATGCAGCTGTGAGGTCCCTTTATATTTTATTTTCAGATGCTGTAGAAGCTCATAGATATTTTCATCAAAATCCTCACTAATGAAGATGCTTTCCATGTTTTCCCAACGGACTTGGGCCATTATCAATAACTGTTCTCACTGGATGCCCTTCTGGGACCCCATGTGGGAATCTGTAAATCCATGGGGCCTACAGTCTAATGCATTTTGGGAAATGGATACTGTTCATTTTCTTTCCATCTCCCTTTTGTCCTTTTTCCTTTCTTCATGTTTCCATTAAGACTCATTCTGGGTTCATTTGGGCTAGTGCCCATAGGTCTGAAAAGGTACCTCCTTGCATTTCTCATTTATTAGTCTGCTTTGTCACTATGGACAAATAAATTTAAAAATATTTCATTTTTTAAAATATATGCCCTTTCATATATGACCTGTGCTTTTGCATAATTTTGTACTCATTGGATTGACTGTCACAGATTACAAAGTATGAAATTAGCCTGTGATATTGTGAAAAATATGAATCATAACTCTATGGAAATCAATATGCTAAATGAAGAAAAAATCATTAAGTCATTCTTCACAATTTGGCTGCAATTATTATTATTACATTGTAAAGGCTGTAATGACCTTAACAATATGTGTTACTTGAATTTAAGGGACAATATTAACTCCATTTCAAAAGAGTTACATTACCTTGCAGACATCATTAAAAAGATCCAATAGGATTATTTAAGTTGAGATATATTGGATTGGTTAACCATGTATTTATCCAATCTTACTTGGATTAAACAACTAGTCATCGGTGAGTGTCTACTAATACTGGGATTGTCGTTTTGTTTTTGTTGTTGTCGAAGCCTACCATATTTTTCACCTCCACCAATATTGAAAAACAAAACAAAACAAAAAATAAACCCCAAATGTTATCCCTCCAAAAGCCCACATAAAACAAAAAAGGAGGAGCTGTAAGTGTTCTGACTGTGGAAATGTGCTAAATAGCAAGTGTCTCTGGTAAGCAAATTCCTGGAGAATAAGAGGTGTCTTGTTTCCCACAGCTGGAACATTCTGCAGTTTCTCCCAGACACTATTACGAGAACTAATGCATGCTCAACCAGAACACCTAATGTACTAATGGTGCAGTGAGCTAATGTAATCTAATGGTATAAATAGAGACAGCTGCTTAGACAAGCAGCCATGTTGCCTCTGCATCGTGCTTTCTTCTCTTTTTGTTTCCTTACAGTCTCAGGACTTCTGCAGTTCATAGATTCACCAGGTTCTTCAATGTTTTACTGGTTTATTTGCCTTCTCACATAGTCATTGGAGCTTAGCAACATTGCCCCATTCACAGTCATGCATAGTGCCTGCCC